GCTTAGAATAAATTGATTTCCACACGTTACTTGCACTTGTAGTGATTAGTGTGGAGGTAGTTTTAAAGAAGATTTAAGGTGGTAAAAAAAACATGAATTAATATAATGCATGAAAGCGTCGACTTTGTTTGGGAGTACATGCGATTATCCTTAATTGGAGACAGGTGACCTGATTAAAAATCGATTACATCAATCTAAATATATTCATTACTTATTTTCTTCTATGTCTTGGGTTTTATTTGATCTTTCTCATTCTTTCCATAACTCGATTTCACATATTCTTTTCGAAATCAATACCTGTTTAATCTTTGTCTACCATAGATATTATCGTATTGACTTATTTGCTTATCACTTCTTAGTTTATTCTCTTGCTCTACCGATGTTCAGTTTGAAAACTTGAGCTGATACAAATTTTTGCTCAGTGCTACATTGTCAACGACTAACTGATCGTGCATACCATGAAACCAGAATGAGCTAAGGGATTTAATTGAGGAGCTTTGATTGTCGTTTTTGGCACCAATATCTTCGCCTACTTCACATAGAAATGGCAAGTGCCAGGTAGCTCGAAACCTACGTCTAAGGCTTTCTGTGCATTCAGCTTGTGCCTTCACTGTTTCTATCCTTGTTCAGCTGTTGTTGATTTCTGTCTTTTTGTTCTTCCGTTCTTGAATCTTGTCCAGGGTTTCGATAGTGATCCATTGATTAAGATGATATTTCTTGCAATCCAGAACCGGCTGACACGTTGAAGTTAATGCTTCCTTGATCCCTTTTCAGTTGTCCTCCATCGTATTCTCATCCTACTAAACCAGATATTTTGAGGCTTGAAACGTGTTATTGAGAGTTTAGTTGAGTTGGTTGATTTTGTCAGTATGTCGAAGGAAAGGCCCTACTGAACCTTTGTAATTGTCCTTCTTTAGTTGTCAAGCGTTTCTTTAGCTTCAGTTTCATCTTGGTTACAACTAGGTGGTGATCTGATAACCTCAACCCCTCCGTTGGTTGTCATGTCCTCCATTGATATCGTGAATTTTTTGGTGATACAAATATGGTCAATCTGGTTCTGTGTGGTGTATGGATGGTTTAATTTGTTTATATATGTTAGCGTATTTTTAGCAAGGTTGTGTTTGTACGGGGTGGGGTTGTTGACCCCTTAAACCGTGTTTGGTATAGGAAGTAACCCGGAAGAGCTACAAAAGGAGTTATTAACTGGAAAGACGATACTATTATTACGAAATCATATGAAATGCATTAATGGCGCCGAACTCATGAAGTGTCTGCCAAGTTTGTACACAGTTATTCACAATACCATACGACATGTGATAGCTAATAGGTGTGTGTCTAAATTACAATGATAGAGTCTCAAAGTAAGAACGAAGAACACCAAAGTATGGAATCTTTTACAATATGATAAGGTTTAACAGAAACAATCGGAGTGAAAATATCTATTCCAAATGTCACGAAGATACAGTTACCATAATCAATGGACTGAATATCATCAGCTTATGTAAATTCTCAGGAACGTACGTTGTGAATGCAATTGCATGTCACATTATACTTCCAAACGTTATTGAAAATGAAATGTGTTACTGAATATTGATAAGTAGTATATAGTAATAGAGTGGAATACAAAGATAACGATGACATTGTAAATGACGTCTCACCACCACTAAGAGAGCAAAACTCATACATTTTCCCCCAACATCATACAAACTACTGTGTCACATATCCTAATCTACATGTTTATGTAGATACCCATTAGGCTATGCAGTTGCTAGTGTAATAGAGAAAGTAATTTGAATTAATTTCTCATTACCAGATTCCTAGATAACCATGCTTCTCCATGGTTGAAACAACTTTATAATTTAAGAAAACACGTTGTTTCATTTTCGACAGCTTTGTTCTAATATCACACCTTTGGTAGTTATCCTAATGTGTTTTTAATATCTTTCCTAATTCTTGGTAAAAGTTAAATCTAAAGTGTCCTAATAGTACGTGAATATCGTTTAAAGTAGTGCTGAGGAAGTGAAAAAAGTTATCCAAATGTAAACCACTCTTATTGTTATGCGTCATTTCAAGTTGTTGTCAGAATATTAGATATTGAAAAATATCAATATGAAAATGTGCAACAGACGTGGATAGATAAGTGATAGACTCACCGCGATTGGCTTCTTTGGAAGATTTAACCTCGATTGAAAAGTGTTCGTATTTTTGGGTTCACTAAGTGTAGTGTGGCGTCGAGTCGCGTTTGGCTATGATCATAACTACAAGACAATTGCGTACCAGAACAGGCTTAACCTTCGAGTAAACCAGAAATCAGAAGGCAATTGAAGGTTGTAGCGAGATATATTTGTCGGCGATCTCGTGGTATCGTTATAATACCGAGATCGTGCCGAAGGAGTACAAACGGAACTGCTGAGCAAACGTAAGTTCGTGCAAAGTCACAATCAATGGAAGGAAGAATGTCTTTAGTACAGATAAACAAACAAGTACACTAAAACAATCATTGGTACAATTGGTTATAATAATAATTGTTTCCATTATATCAGTCGCGTTCTCTCCATGAAAGTAGGTCACTACAGGAGCTCTCCGTTATAAAGGGTTTACACATTCGATACGTAGCGGTTTCGTTCGTGAGACTGATCACTACACCATAGACAATTTCCATCTAACGGTTCGTGTTCTGAAGTATTGGAGATAAGGGGACAGTTTTGTGATCGTAATGGGATACCTGTAGTTGGTCAATCGGTGGAATTTAGATTAGCCACCTCGCGTTACACAGTATATGTGAAAGAGGATTCTGGATCATCAGACGCAGTAACAAATAATTGATTGTTTATATGATGAAGTTGTTGAACATAAACAAATAACAAGTTACAAGTAAAGCAAAGATCGCACATTAGTAGATGGGCGAGAAAGAATAACGAGAAAAATCCAAGAAACAACTTAAAACTCAGTATCCACAGCTAAACAACGAGTGGATGTATCTGCACCACACTGAATGAATTTCAACTTAGTCAACCAGTGTCTCCAGCAATCGATCACTATGATTGCACGAACATTAGACGAATGATTTGCATTCATCAACATTACCCAAAACAACAGTTAATCAATGCATGGACTGACATCATGTTTTGGTCCTATCACCACTGGCATTCTTCCAAGACACATCTACACTAGTCAACACAAGTCGAACAACTACAACCGCCTCTTCCATAAACTTATGGCTCGAAACCAAGCATTCAACATGTACAAAGGAATCGTTCGTTCATTCAAACACCACATGATCCCAGTAGATACGAGCAATATTTACAAAACATCTGTGATCAAATATTAGTCTCTTACGAGCATCGTTCATACTTATTGGCCACGTTTAACGGCCCTAAAGTGAAACAGAACAAAATGCCGCGCAGTATAATCGTCCTTTGATTGATAGACGGGAACCTTGCCTTTGCCGTAAGTTGGCAAAAGACAAAATGACTCTCTGAATCGCGCAGAGATTTCTTCAGACACCAACCCATTAGGGCTTACCAGACTTCCAAGACAAGTGACGTTGTCGTTGTGTTCGACTACTCTCTATCCTTATTTCAAGTGTTGAAGCAAACCAGTCCTGAAGTAACAACAAACACATCACAAACACCCTGTGAGTGTTGCTCAGTGCTACCAAAACACTGCATTTTATCAGTGTCTTCACCAAACAGGTCATCTGCGTATTCTAAGCCAATAAGTGGACCACATCGTAGTGGATCAATGCCCGAAAATTCAGTTGACGAGAACGTTATTTCCATGAGTAGGTCTATAATGAAGTTGAAAACAATGGAGATAATGGACAGTCTGGTGTTACCCACAGCCGCTTCCGTCGCTCACCGATTCTCACGACCGTTCCGTAAACTTTGGTTAACCTAGATCTGATTTGTTTTCGCTCATCTTGTTCGCAGAGTGATGGGATAAGTCTACGAGTGTATCAGAGCAATAGACTCAGTATAAATCCACTAATTTTTTGTAACCCCATGCGTTCAAATCACTAATAGATGTCGCTTCTTTTCCACAGCAGTTCGTGTATTTTTCCAAGCAACATCTGGGTCAACCTTGCTTTCACTATTGCCTAAATGTAACTTCAGTTGTCCCTTCAAAAGTTTCATCGCTGAATTAGATGATGTCTCTACTTACGATTAAATTTAATCCTTCTTATAAGTAAAGGACTGTTCAAGCACAGTCGCAGCAGACGGTCACCATCATCGGTTCGCTGAGTCGAAATACTAGAATACCCACCTAAGTATTAAAGTCATCCCTACGAGTACTATGTATAAGTGTTTAACTTTTTGAGAGAGTTCAGAAAGCTATCTGTAAAATTCGTCTTTCACTTCAACCGGGCTATAGTTAGACAACGACGTGCGTCCCAATCCTTCCGAGTTTTTACGGAGACCTTTAGGCGAACAGCACATAGGCGACTGTTAACAGAGATCCATTCTCGCAGTGTCTGTTCTGCCCTCGTACTTAGTGCTAGGCCTACACTCCTCAGTCCACGAGAACTAGCCGCCGGGTCGCCAGATAAACGGAGCATGTACCTTGTCAGCTCTCCGTTTTGGCGAGGTGATGTCAAATGAATGACTACACTAGGGTCCTGTATGCGCTTCGGGAAAAAATAGAAAAACAATGTGAAATTACAAGAGGAAACCAGGAACGGTTTCATAACGATTGTTTTAGTGTATTTATTATTTTATGAACAACAAATCACGATATTGAAGCTAAAATATACATAATGAAATAGACTACGATTGAGAAAAATAAAGAAGCAAAACACAACACACAAATCAATGTAATCCTACTGGTTCTATCGTAAGCAACAAATATATACATAAACTGGATAGAAGAAGTGAAAAGAGATAAAATAATAGTGTACATACACAGAAACCATGTACAAGTGTTTTAAACGAAGAAAGGAAACCAATGTAGCCAGGACAGTGAAGCACATTTCTGGGAGATTTTTGGCCGGTAGAAAACGTCTATCTGTCTGAACGCAATAGTGGACTGGGAAAATAAGATAATCGATTTTTAGGCCATAAATAACGAAGTGACCCGCCATCAAATAGTTGTGAATTGTCAGTTGGAGATTGTAGATCATCATTATCATTAATTTCTGATATGGATGTACAAGTTTGTTGTTTGTTTAAATCATACGTTTCATTCATCAGTGTGTGAGTCATATGTTTATCCTGTTGTTCTTCAGGCAAATTTAATTGTAATGCACGAGTTCTACGTTTGGGACGTAATATAACGGGTAATCCAGATGGTGGTCCCATAACAGTTGCAGAATTTTCGACTGAACTGGCTATTTCACTGTTTTGCGATGATGAGTCTGAACGATTTTTGCACAGACCTAATACACAGTGACAATGTGATGGGACACACGGACGACCGGAACGTTTACAACTACAACGTGCTTGACATGTTCCTCGGCATTTACATCTAGGTTGGTGTGGATCTGCATCAGTGTTTGACTGATTAATCGAAATAAAAATGAATTCATTTGATTACTATCTAACATCACTATGAATATGTACAAATATTGTTACGTAAATACTTCGACATTAAACTGTAAAGTGAACTCACTCTGCAACTGCCCACCCAGAACACACTTTATATCACATCTCAGTTCATGTTTTCATGTCAGGAAGTAAATGGCTGACAGTTATGATTAAACGTACAGGAAATATGAAGTAGCTCACGTTGGAACCATGAAGAGATAGAATATGTACGATATATATATATATATATCTTATTTCAATCACAGAGACAATTCAGTTCTAAGAAAACAGTTTGGGAGAATTCTCCTAGATAAAAAACTTCCCTGAATCTTATGAAGACCTCAATAAAAGAAAACTACAGCAGAAATGCTATCGGTTCCTATTATCAGCTAATTCAGGTAACGCCTTAGACCACCCTAAACAGACTTCTTTCTAGTTATGGCTCATATACTATTTGAACCTGACTCGTCTTGGCGATTGGTTGAAACTGAAGCAAAGGCTCTTTTTAGTATACCAATCCGTTTAGGATGAGACATTGACTGGCCACCAAAGCATAATATATGTACACTACTTAAAGATTACATACTAAGAAAAAACAGTTGTTCAGTTTGCTTATTGGTTTTCTAGATAAAAGCCAAATCATGTCAACTATCTCTACCTAGGTTTGTACCCATATTCCACAATATATCAATAGTACAAAAAAATCCTGGCTATCCAGATAAATATGATTGGCGATGAAGGGGGGAGTGAACATTACACATGTACTCACATTAATATCAGTGACTACCGTAAACGGTAAACTCCATTCGCTTTCAACTTTTTTAAACTTCACTCCTGGTTCGTCTCCATCATTAGTGTTTACATCATCATTGAATTTTAGGGATTTATCGGTAGCAATATTTGTTTGCGGATTTACATTCTCATTCTCATCATCACTCAACAAAGTAAATGTACAATTATTATTACTGCTGTATTGACGAAGTACAGGGGTGTTTGATAATTTGTTGTCAACAATCAGTTCAGTAGATGGACTACTCTAAAGAAAAAAAGGATGAACAAATAAAAAAATTAATCAAGCGACTGAAATTATCCAAAATATTCAATGATACTGAGTACATGTAACTCCGCGAAGAGCTAGTCCCGGTCCTTTAGAACCACAGTTGACCGTAAGCTTAACGAATCTACCTTGTGAAAAATAAGACTATTGAAAAGAACGCCAACCACAGAAAACCAATTAGACCTTTAGCTGTGACTTGATGAGTCTTCATATAGAAGATTTATAGTGTCGAATTTGGGAAGTCGAGATTTTTTGGAAGCCGACGCTTTTTCTGACAACCGAAAACAATGACGAATAAATGCACGTGGAATGTTTGAACAATGTGAGAGACGGGATGAGTTTTTAAGATAGTCGCAGAAATAAGACGAAACAACCTGGCTGTATTTAGAAGAAGCGGAACCCATTGAATATAGTCTGGGTAGAAAAAACAAACAAAGGTGTTGTCTTATTCTGGTCATGAAGCACACGATGCTTTCCACATACAAGGAGTTGGTCCACTTCCTTGTGGATCAGACCTTTAGGACGAAGGCTCCGAATATTCTCTCCGCTAAGATAACCACCTGCCTCGGTTTGGGCGCCCTGATAGTATTACAGCCCTCACAAAAATCGAATGACAGTGTGGCGCATATATATTTAGTGCTGGCTTGTACCAGTGTTTGTGTTTAAGTAAAAAATGCAAGGAGTTCCATTGATGCTCTCCAAAGAAGCATGAACAACTCTATTAGGATGGAGAACTCATCACTACGGGATCATTAAAGCATCTTTCAAAATAAAGGCGGATATGATTACAATGAACATCATCCAGTGCTACCCAATCATCAACGGTAGGAAGGAAGATGTGCTTTGAACATGGTTACAGGCAGCAGCATCTTCCCAATAAACGCATGTACGGAGCTATGTGGGTCTCACTGGACCATATAACGGAGAACCAGATCCATCATGTCTTCACCAGTAACATTCAGTAAGTCCACAGAACACTTAAGAAAGTAAATCTTAGTGACTGTGAGAACCACAAAGGGGTTACACTATTGTCAAAGCCAGGCAAAGTTTGCAACAGAGCGTAACTGAAACGAGCGAAGGATTCAGTAGTAACCCAACCTAGAGACTTTTACAAGTATTGATTACGTACGGGCCGAATCGAGATATTGCAACTCGATGTTCAACAATCAATCGAATTGAACTCATTGCTGTACAGCAACTTCCTTGATTATGAGAAAGGATACGAAAGAGTGGATTTTTTTTTCAAAGATATGGAGTGCCGGAAGATATTTTCATCTTTATACGGAACTCGTACGAAGGACTCAATTGCAAAATTGTGCAGGGAGGTTAGCTCACAGATGTATTTCAAGTGAAGACCAGTGTCAGACAAGACTGGTTACTCTCGCTTTTCTTTTTTCAGCTGCTGACTGGACTATGAAGACATTAACATATCTGGGGATGCGCGGAATGCAGTGAACACCTTGGACTTTGTAGATGACCAAGTACCATTATCTCACTCCTACAAACAAATTTAGGCGAATACAGCCAGTATAGATGTGGCATCAGCAGAAATGGTACTTAGCATTCACAAAGGAAGAAGCAAGATAATAAAGACATTTGGCGATACTTTCAATGATCCATTATACTATAAATGACGAGTATTCTCAAGAGGATAAGTGTAGTGTACCCTAAATATTGTTAAATGGTATTGATGATCTTAGTTCCTTACTTATTAAACAAAATATGCACTTTATAAGAAACCACCATATTAATTTATACCTGGTGCAATATGAGGTCAGAGTAATTTATGACCGCTTACGCACATGACCCATAAAAAATGTGCTCAAGATGGTATTAAAATAGCAACAACACTTAATATGACATAAAAAGTCGAAGTAACTGGTACAGTCGTCGTTATTTTTACTTCATAATTTATACAAGTAACAGGACAGCGACAGTACGATCAAATAGTTCAACTCATGTGAAAATCCTTCAAACAAGGCTGCATACTAAAAGTCAGTCAGTTACAACGTAGAACCAGGCACATACATGCATCGGTCCAAGTGGCCATACCTCATTAGCACAGCAAGACGAACACCTGATTGATAGAAGCAGTCAACTCAATGGTGTAATATATAAAGGGAAAATTTTATATAAGGATATAGTACTAAAACACAGAAATCCACTCAAGTTCATATCTTCATTTTAATTTATATTATTCGTATTAGTTAACACTTTGCAAATCAGTATTTGGCAATGTTTAGTAATGGTACACTGATTATAAACACTTCAACTCAGCCGATTCATCCATCGATATCGGTTTAAACAGGGGTAGGTAGGACTATTATCTGTCGTGTAACTAATAAAGTATGTTAATTAGTTTGAGTGAGGATAAATTTCATATTGAAACTAATTTCATGGTAGGGTTCAAATTTAAGTGGTACTAAGTAAAGGAAAATGATTTAAAGTGTATCTATATTCATTATGAACTAACGTAAATTCTTTTTTACTTCACTGATACTATAAGAAGTTTAAACATCAAACAAGTAGTAAGGTGATATGTGCAACCATGTTTATACTTCAAGAAAAGTTCAATGGCACTACTAATCACTAAAAGTTATACATGTGATAACAAATGAACATGCAGTTTGGAAAACTTTCACATGAGAGGAAACTGACCAAATTAATATTCATTTAGGTAAACAGGGTTTGTAGAGATTATTAAGTCTGAAAAAATAACATCACGGACTCAACTTAAACAACCATTGGAATTCGAAAGGCAGTAGACAGCTGTGTTTTAATGGTATGGGACACCTCAGTGATACGTATTCGCGACCCAACAAGAGGAGATCGAAACAAGGACTTTCGATTGTTCGCGCGAGCCCTTAAGATCTTGAACGCTGAGCCGGAAGCCAACAGTGCACCTGTCTAGCTTCAACAGATCCACTATGGTATATGACTATCTTCTATTGCCTGTCGTGGATAACTGTCTCGAAATCAGCATGGTTGGACTTCACCAGTCATAACTTCTCACCAGTGAGCACAGGATTATTGTTGGTACACGGATTTTGTGGAAATTGATGAATAATTGCAGATGACATTTAGATGCACAATAAATCAGTTTGAGTAAGATGAAAAATTCGTGAATTGTCCAACTTTATAAGAATGTTTACACAAGATACTGATTAGCTCGAAAGTGCTTTAAACATTTCACCGCCTTTCTCAGTTTTGAAGAAACAAATATTATCACTACTGTGTTTCCAGACCATTCATAACTTTGACAACGAAATGTTCACTACTAACAATAATAAACTATCTGATCATGAGTAAAAACTCTCAGTAAACTTACTGCCATCAATGATCTTATCTTCATTAAATTATCATGTTGAATTTTCGAAGCTTCTCGTAATTCAGCGTTTTCTCTTTTTAATTGGTCAATGTCTTCATTAGCAGCTTGAAGACGAAATTGAATGTCTTTCATCTAGACATGAACAAACAAGGAGAAGACATTAGTAAGTACGTGAATAGACTAGTAAAGGTGGTTGGTATTTCCTTTGCAACAAAGAGTGATAAACTGAGAGTGGAATAAAGTGATTTAATAAAGAGGATAATAAATCGAGTGATTAAAATGGGAATCTGTGCCGTTTGGTGTGCCTGAAATGTGTCAGGCATATCCAGCCATCGACTGTACGACACTTGAGTAGACTGAGAAAGAAGTTTGATATGATTGGACCAATGAATAGCATCTGCCACTGACTGTTAGACTGAGACTGTATTGGATGGGAAAGATATCATTTTCCAGAGTTTCGCATCAAAAACGATGTAGTTGTTCTGTTCTCTTCTCCTTCAAATTTTGCTATTTTAATATTATTTCATAGTCACTGTTGTGGTATTTCACTTGTCTTATTCAACAGCATTTATTATTAATTTCAAAGACGGTGTTTACATTTGGATAACTTTTTTCACTTCCTCAGCTGAAATGAAGTATGACATCTTAGAAAGATGCATTCACGTTTGCCAGCCGATTAAATGCAGTTGATTATGAATACAGCACCAAACCTCAGTGATGGTGGTTATGACCAACCTCAAGCACTACTTTAAACGATATTCACGTACTATTAGGACACTTTAGATTTAACTTTTACCAAGAATTAGGAAAGATATTAAAAACACATTAGGATAACTACCAAAGGTGTGATATTAGAACAAAGCTGTCGAAAATGAAACAACGTGTTTTCTTAAATTATAAAGTTGTTTCAACCATGGAGAAGCATGGTTATCTAGGAATCTGGTAATGAGAAATTAATTCAAATTACTTTCTCTATTACACTAGCAACTGCATAGCCTAATGGGTATCTACATAAACATGGAGATTAGGATATGTGACACAGTAGTTTGTATGATGTTGGGGGAAAATGTATGAGTTTTGCTCTCTTAGTGGTGGTGAGACGTCATTTACAATGTCATCGTTATCTTTGTATTCCACTCTATTACTATATACTACTTATCAATATTCAGTAACACATTTCATTTTCAATAACGTTTGGAAGTATAATGTGACATGCAATTGCATTCACAACGTACGTTCCTGAGAATTTACATAAGCTGATGATATTCAGTCCATTGATTATGGTAGCTGTATCTTCGTGACATTTGGAATAGATATTTTCACTCCGATTGTTTCTGTTAAACCTTATCATATTGTAAAAAATTCCATACTTTGGTGTTCTTCGTTCTTACTTTGAGACTCTATCATTGTAATTTAGACACACACCTATTAGCTATCACATGTCGTATGGTATTGTGAATAACTGTGTACAAACTTGGCAGACACTTCATGAGTTCGGCGCCATTAATGCATTTCATATGATTTCGTAATAATAGTATCGTCTTTCCAGTTAATAACTCCTTTTGTAGCTCTTCCGGGTTACTTCCTATACCAAACACGGTTTAAGCGGTCAACAACCCCACCCCGTACAAACACAACCTTGCTAAAAATACGCTAACATATATAAACAAATTAAACCATCCATACACCACACAGAACCAGATTGACCATATTTGTATCACCAAAAAATTCACGATATCAATGGAGGACATGACAACCAACGGAGGGGTTGAAGTTATCAGATCACCACCTACTTGTGACCAAGATGAAACTGAAGCTAACAAAACGCTTGACAACTAAAGAAGGACAATTACAAAGGTTCAGTAGGGCCTTTCCTTCGACATACTGACAAAATCAACCAACTCAACTCAACTCTCAATAGCATGTTTCAAGCCTCAAAATATCTGGTTTAGTAGGATGAGAATACGATGGAGGACAACTGAAAAGGGATCAAGGAAGCATTAACTTCAACGTGTCAGCCGGTTCTGGATTGCAAGAAATATCATCTTAATCAATGGATCACTATCTAAACCCTGGACAAGATTCAAGAACGGAAGAACAAAAAGACAGAAATCAACAACAGCTGAACAAGGATAGAGACAGTGAAGGCACAAGCTGAATGCACAGAAACAAACAACCGATTGAGAATGAACATTAGGGCTGACAAGCAGAAACACATAGAAGACCTGACAACTACAGCTTCAACATAAAGAAATATTGGACAACTATGACACAACGGAGAAACTGACACGGAAATGTAGTAAACCAGAGAGACCATTTCAGGACAAGGAAGGCAAGCCAATCACTGAAATCCAAGGACAGAGGAACAGATGGTATAGGATTTTTGCATCGACTTAAGAACTTAAAAAAGGCATTCGATTATTAGTGTTTCAGTGGAAAACTTATCATTCCAACTTACATTCTCCTCAGATTTCAGTAATTCTGCAGAATAATGCTCTGTAGTCTGAAGTAAATTTTCTACTTTTCGTCTCTCTGTATTTAGTTGAGATTCCAATTCGTATACCTGAGTTTCTAAATTAATCTTAGAAACTTCAGATGACGATGCCTACGAAATAAATAAAAACGGCAAGAATAAGCAGAATAAAGAACTGTTGACTAGTCAAATCAGATCACTATACTTCTATAGAGAATAAATAAGTGGAATTCATGTCCTATTGGCATTACTTTACGAAGCCTGTTTACAGAATCGACATTCTGTTGTAACTTACATCATTAAATTAATAAACCATATAGCACGGACGTATGTTGTTATATGTCTGCCCAGTGACTACTTATATTCAAATGTAGCTTGACAATTTGGACAGATTTATCAATTGGTCAGTCTGATTAGAAAAGCATAAAAAGTACAACCTACTTGTCTGAATAGATATTTCAAAGCTATTCGTGCTTCTTGAATGTTATGTAGTTGGGATAAACGAGACGAGAGCATTTGACCAGACAAATCAGGTGGACCGGAGGCATCTGTCGACGATCTTTCGCCGGCATCCATAAGTTTTTGTTGCAAATTGCTAATCTGTTGTGTTTGACATTGGATCGATTCAGTAAGACCGTTCACTTCTTCAATATACATATCATAAGGTTTACCATCTTGTCGGCAACTTTCCATTTTGGCTTCGATCGTGCGCAATCGATCACACAGTGTTTTACGTGAATCCATAAAATGACTCAGATGATATCTAACAGTATCCATACTGATTTGGATATCTAAATCTGTTTTGACCCAAGCGCGAACTCGTGCAGCCAAATCGAATCTAATAAATGTGATAAGAATTTAGATAGTTTAAACTATGGAACGAACATTTACACTGAAAGTCACAAAAGAAGTTGTGCCTATAAACGAACTGAATATAACAAATACCGACATGCACGTAGTAGGAGTATCTGGACAGCATAATAAAACTCGAAGCCTGACACGCGGAAATCTATATATATCATGGGTTAACTGTATGTACTCAAGTATCTTATTGAGAGAGTGATGATAAACTCAAAAGCGAATAGAGCTGAGATCAAGCAAAATGTAGAGAAATTTTGAATGATGACGGTGAGTAACACATTCTGATATTGATAAATCAAATTCAAAGGTCGGTATTTTTTCACCGAGTTTACAACACTAACGTGAATATGCAATCTTTTGAGGAAACATACCATGAGCATACAATTAGTATGGGCATATATCCACATCCAGTGATATACAGGTTAGTCGTGTTTCAGTCTAGTCTACATGATAACTGTAAAATGCACAGAGCAGATAACTAGTCATAATTCACCACTGGAAAGTAACTGATTTTCCTGGAAATAGTGAAAATAAGATCATATCAAAACGCTCTTTGACACATAATTAACCTGATATGTTTGTGTGTTTCTGTTTGATTTCGATAACTAACAGGGACTAAATGATATGCTAATCTAGAATTGATGAAAACACTCATATCAATGTGTATCTTAAACCTAAAGAATTCGCTAGTTATTTTCTTAAAAGTGTAAAACATAATGTTCAGTAATTGCATCTATCTAATTCCATCGTTTATGATGTCAAACATATGGAAAAGCATGTCTCGAATTAAACTAGTGCTAGATCTCAGTAATTCCCCCGAAATGAAATTAGATAAATAGGAAAAGAGATCGAAATAATCAAATAGTAATGATAATGAGAAAAACTAAGTAATAAGAATATTTAGGAGTTGCATCCTCTCAACTGGGTGATTTAATTATGGGGCTTTCACAGTCTTTCTCGATAACACGAACTTCAGATAGAGGTGACCTATCGGAATTTCTCTAAATAGCCCGTCCTGTCAGCTTTGCTCTTGATTGCTGTCAGTCTTTGATCAATCATTCCTTATGTGTTCACCTTGATTCATTATTGCTTCAAATGATTGATAAATTGATTCTATTTTGAAAAATCTGTTGACTAACGATTGACCTGAGAACCGAAATTCTAAATAATTTTCTGGCCTTCCTTAGGTTGCCTCAGTCCAAGATACCGTTCCACAGTCAAACGCGTATACGCAATTGCCTTCATACATTGACGTAAATGAAAATATGTCGTGACCTTTAACAGGTAACTGGTCCTCATGTAAACAAAGAGGAAGATAGGGGCTATCGTGTCAGATGTAATTTTTATTACAGTTGGAGCAGTTTATTTTGTATATGATATTCAACTTATTTTCTTATAATATTTCATTTTATGGTTTGTATAATATTTATCGAAATTATTTTGCAGATTTATGAGCCATGCCTATATACTAAACGGCCTAAATAATTTGGTTGTATTTTCTGATGTCCTTCATATATAGTAAAATAATCGGTTTGTGGAGTTCTATATTAGATTTTGAGCTTGTTCATGAGACAGCTGTCCTTTGGGAAGAATCACCAGATATCTTTCTACATCTAGCTTCCTGGCAACTATTTCCTACTATGACTAACATTGAGCACTGTACAAGAGTTCTAAACTAGGACTAAATGACTGAATCCCTGATTTTTCGAGTTAATAATGTTTGTGATAAACAGTAAATTTGAAGATATTTTGACCAAAATTTATGCCAGTTTGAAACAATCATATAAAGCAGATAGAC